TATCAAAAACAACAGTAACAGTAAAGCAACAGCACAAACATTTAAAAATGAGAAAGTAATAAAATCTCAGGTTCCATAATCTTCCATAAATTCAAGTAAGCAAACTAAATGTATTGTGTCTATTTAAATAATTTAACAAATGCAATGACCTACATAACTTCTAAAAGCTTTCTAAGAAATTTTTTTTTTTGCCAACCCTCTATAAAGACCACCTTTTTGGAATGCAGCAGATTCGCCTGCATAAGGAAAGAATTTCTGCAGCTTCTCCAAAGTTAGCTTAGCTGGCTGAACTGAGGTTTACTGTATATAGGAGTATCTGGAAAAACACAATGCAAATCTATGCTACACTTTTTAATGCATTTCTTTGCAGTAACTACACCCAATAGACTAGAGTTAATTTTTGACTAGTTAATCCAAGAGGATTTTTTTTATTATCATTTAATAAACTTGTTGCTTTCACTTGTTGCCACACCTCTTCATTTTATAAGTAACCACAACGGCTCTAATCTCCATGCCACCTTATGGATAAACAAGCAGGTCAAAGGTTTTAAAAGGAAATTAAAGCTTTGTTCTTACAGAAAGCATTACCAGGCATCCCTAAACAAGTCATTTAACTCAAACAAGACTCAACCAAAAGCATATCATCTATCACGTGGATGAATCTCTGTAAGGGTCATGCCTCTTGTATCTTGGCACCAGCTCAAACAGAAGGAGGAAAGCAAATAAAAGCCAAATGCAACATTCAGTGTTGAGGAAAATGTGTCTTTTAAAATACCCAGTTCAGTATCCAACAAGCTGAAACTAAGCAACAGCTCTAACACTAAACAAGCGTTAGAGCTGTTGCTTTTGGCCAACTTCCAGCAGGAAAGTTAGATATTTTTAAAACCTTTTAATGATTTTTGCCTTAGCTCATCAATAAATGTCTACAGTTGCATAATGAATGTTTCACAGTGCCAAGTCAGGGTGCTTCAGGGCAGAGGTGTGCTACTAAACTGGTATAAATTCCAACTCCATTTTTTTAGTGTCACCACGACCCTGTAATTATTAAGTTAATAAATTAAAAGAGCACACTTAAACTGGCAGTGTTGAAAGAATATAATAATGGGGCAATGAGAGGTAAACAAGATTTTTATATTATCTAAGCAGTCATAAGGACGACTGCTGACTCGTCAGCTGTCCAGCAAAGTCATCTACACCTGTTTTAAAGAGGAGTGACAGTGTGCAGACTTTAAGCTCCTTAAAGCTATATTTACAACTTATTCATGGAAAATTGACTGGAAGGAAAAACTGTCATTAAAGACAATGCATTAGTAACAATGATAAAATCTGCCGTTACAGGAATGTGAAGCAAAGCCTGTTGAATAGAACCTTGAACTGATACATGTAAACGGATCAGGACCATGTAATAGGAGCAGCATGTGCAGATTATATGCACACTTTTTAGTTGTAATTCAGTCCCGTATTTAAAAAAAATGAAACATGCAAAGTAGGGGTGGAACGGTTCACAAAATCCACGGTTCAGTTCGGTTCACGGTTTCGTGGTCACGGTTTTCGGTTCAGTTCGGTATATGTTTATTGTTACACCGAAAAAAAAAAAAATTACTAAAAATTATAACAAATTAATGAAAAAATAAAAATGTATGAAATTAATGAAAAAAAAAAATTATGAATTGTAATTATTTTTATTGATCCGCGGAAACCCTGGATCATTTCCGCATGTTTTGCTGCTTTGAATTTAATCATCTCGCGCATACCCTCTACGATCTCCAAGCAACTCAGAGCGGAGCGGACGGGAGCCACAGTGGGGGCTGTAGGCTTTGCTTTGTGCAGGCGGTCTGGAGTGCAGCGGGGCGGAGCGGGGGTTGCTGACAGAGTACGAGGGATTTCGGGGTTAGCATGACATGTTGGTCATGTTGCTGTTAGCATAAACAAAACGTGTTGCACAATGCTTGCACACTGTTGCACTTTTATCCACAACTTTCTTTCCGCCGTCATCGTAGGTCACTCTACATGCAAAGCGCTCCCACACAGCAGACC